AGTAAACATCTTTCTAGTTAATTCATAATCTCCCTAGAATATCCCACTTGCTTTGAATCTGCATACATTCTGGTGAAAAATCCACTGTCATTTGAATTTATTTTCTCCTACAAGTAGAATTTCTCACTACTTTCAAGATATTTTAATTCTGTCTTTAGTCCTAACTGCTTATCATATCACCTTTATCAGAGTTTTTAAAAACATCCTTGTCAGAAAATTCTAGCATGTCTGTTTATCAATTTGACTTTTCCATTGATATCCTGAAAAAGAAACAGAAAAGTTTCCTTACTCACAATGACCCCCTCCCCGCCCCCAACCCCCAAAAAACTACAAAGACATAACTCTAAGCAAGAAGATGTAAGTCCTCTATAATGAAAACTATAGAACACTGAAGGAAAAATTTGAAGAAGAACATACAAAATGGGAAGACTTACCATGAACTTGGATACTCAGAATTAGTAGTGACAAAATGGCCATGCTGCCCAAATATTATACAGTATCAATGCAATGCCCATTGGATTCAGGAACCCTGAATCCACAAGACTCTTCTCAATACTCATCTTCCTAATTAAATGTCTTCATAGTTAAACTATGATTTCCCTAGAATATCCTACTTGGGATATAGAGTTTCAATGCAATGCCCATTAAAATATTAATGACATTCTTCACAGAACTAGAAAAACACTTATAAAATTCATTTGAAATAATAAGAAACCCAGACTAGCCAAAGCAATCCTGAACAAGAAGAGTAATAATCAAGGCATCACAATATCTGACCTCAAATTATGCTAGAGATATAATAACAAAAACAGCATGCTATAATTAAAAACATACATGAAGATCAATGAAATATAAGACACAGATAAAAAGCCACATAGATATTGTCATCTGATACTCAACAAACTTGCCAAAAACATACATTGGAAAATAGAAATCCTGTTTAACACATGGTGCTGGGAAAAGTTGATATCCACATATATAAGAATGAATTGACCACTATTACTTTACCTGTACACATGTTGACTCAAAGTGGATCATAGACTAGGAAGTAGACCAGAAACTCTGCAACTGCTGAAAGAAAATGGAAGCTCACTTAATAAATGGCAAAAGAACAAAAGACATTATCTAAGGAAATACAAATGACCTATATATATGAAGTACAAAGAAGGAAGTTTATTGGAATATAATCCTACCTTAAAAAGAAAACAAGATTCCAAAGAAACAACCCAACTGTATTTCTCAAAGAA